AATACTGAACGAACTATAGATTTATTACGTACCGAGTAGGATAAGAAGCCAATTACCCACGAGCGAAAAATTGTAAGCACGAGGCGTTAGCCGAGGCACGAGCGAAGCACGAGGCGTTAGCCGAGTGCGATAATTCGCGGGTGAACGTAATTGGCCTCATTTTCGAGGTGCGTATATACTATACTTTTTCTACCGTAGAAAGGAATGGTACAATATATTTGCTTGAGATTATGGCTTTGGATAATAAACTCATTCAGTCAAGTCATTCAGAACTCAATTGATTGATTTAAAAATTGATGAAAACATTTCCTATAAATTAATTTATTAGGGTTCATTTTTGTTATACGTTTTTGCTAATCTTTCGAAATAAACGAAAAGAACGTTTTCGGAAAACGAAGTTATGTTTCTCTTCTCTCTCCTGGCAGCAAATTATTCATCACAATATTTATTTGCTCAGTGATATCTANTCATAAGATCATATTTATCATAGTAAATGTTACATATCTGATTTTTTTTTTATTTCTTACGGAATTGGCCGCCATTAATTTATAATACACGTGTATTCTAAATGAGCCATTACCTACCTGTTGTCATACACGTAATGATTGGTTTAAAATGAAGCATTTCATTTCGAATGCTTAGCAAAACAACAAAGTGGAAAAACACTATATAGATAGATGTAGACGTATGTACAATGCATCAAGATCAATATCTAAGTAAAAATTCAAATGAAGTCACGTACAACCATATGAAACGTGTCGGATCTTTTCACGAACACTGTTTATTTATACATTACTTGTGACCTCAAGGTCGTCACAGGCGTCTTGAAGTCGACGAGGCGAATCAATTTGAACGGGAGGATTGATTCCGATAACGAATTGGTCCATTAAGCAAAAATGTGTTATAAAAATAGCAATTGCATATGCCTTGAAATACATGAAATATTTTCTAGAATCTCGCCTGTGCTTCAAAATAACCCAATCAAGTTCAATTGAAGTGCGTAATAGGTACTAATACTGTTTGTTGAATTCTTCAAGTTCACGGAGAATAATATACGGAAATAAAAATCATACATATATGTAGTCAATCTAGATTTTTGAGTTTCTTTTAGAATTTCCTACATGCAAGGTTCATCTCCACAGAAGTGCTTCACTTTTTCAGTTTACCTGAATTATCAAACTCATTACTAATGTCTAGAATCAATACCCCGTTTAATTCCCATTCCAATGAAATCATGCTGAATGTACAGTTGCCCCAATTAGAAGATGTACCGGTTCTTCTTTAAGAAATTGTTTGACACATTTTGGAGTAAAGTTTTTGGAAGACGTACTCTAGATGGCCTCCTAGACCTCCTGATTTAACCCCGCTTGACTTCACATGTGTGCATGTGCAAATCTATTAGAAATTGTATTTATTGTAACAGGTTTCACCCACTTTACACAAAATGTTATCGAATAATAATCTAACTAAATTTTAGAAATTTAGGAGGGCATATCAGTAATGGAAATCGATTCTACATATACATCGCTGCATCACTGGCAGTCCCCAGTATTGTTTTGATGGTAACCCTCCTGTCCAATGGTAGGGAACCCGCCGTACCAGAATCGTTCATAAAACCAAGTAACGGGAATAGTGTGTGCAAATTCGGTGGTGAGTATATATTTTTCTAGAAAACATAATTTTTGGAAGTTATTTTCAACTCAATTATCAATTTTGATAAAAGTAGCTGTTTTGACTTAGTTTAACGTATGTTTAAAAAACTTCAATACATTTTTAGACTTAAAACCGGGTGGCAAAGAAATCATTTCAGTTTTTTATAAAACAAGAAATATGAAATATGTTTATTAAAGCCGATATTTCTCACAATAAAACAATTGAAAATCTTGTCCGGTTCATCCGAAAATGGACCCATATCAAGAATTTTTAATAGAACCCTGTATATAGTGATATATTCAAAAAATAGGTGGATGTTGAAATTTCGCGGGATTTCGAATAGCAATTTTTAATTTTTTTGTGTTGGTACACTCGTCTCGAACATATTTTCACAGTTTCACTTGTTTAAAATGTTTAGTTTGTTGGTGAGCAGCATAAAAGTGATATACAGGGCTAGTCAAATTCGTTTCTGTACGTGGGGATCACGTATAGTAAACGATAGAGTGTCGGTTAAATTGTGGCAAAGTTGCGTATTTTATAGACCTATTCAATGATGTGAAAAAATCGAATATAGCTCTTTTGGTTCTGGAGATATACAGGAAAAACCAAAAAATCCCAAATTATTTTTTTGCCTATATCTTCTTTATTCGCAGACATATTGAAAATCTGTCCACATTTTGCTATTGGCACTTGATGTGGGCTATCAGAATATGTACATGAATCTTTTATACAGGGCGTTATCTGACTTGTGCCACCCCCATCTTTGAATGTTCAAATACAAATATTTTTTGTTGTAATTTTTGTATCGTCGACGTTCACTTCATACTTAGGTATCAAATTCAATTGTATATTTCGTGATGTTTCGGTAATATTTGATTATAATTGTGGGAATTATTCCCTTTTAAATTACGGCCCTGGAAATTGGTTGACTGAGTTGAATAAGAACACAATAGCAACTTTATATTACCGAAACATCCCGAAATATAAAATAAAATTGAATTCCTCAGTATGAAGTGAACGTCGCGTCGACGATACAAAAACTACAACAAAAAATACAGTTCGATATTTAAAAATTCAAAGATGGGGGTGGCCCAAGTCAGATGACACCCAGTATAAAAGATTCATGGACATATTCTTGGCACTTGATGTGCTATTGGCACATCAAGCGCCAATAGCAAAATGTGGACTGTCTGCGAATAAAGAAGATATAAGCAAAAAAATTATTTGGAATTTTTTGGTTTTTCCTGTATATTTTCAGAACCAAAAGAGCTATATTCGATTTTTTCACATCATTGAATAGGTCTCTAAAATACACAACTTTGCCACTCTATCTCTTATCGTTAACGAGATCCCCATGTAGAGAAACGAATTTGAATAGCCCTCAAACGGGTTTCAGGAGTGCCTAGAAGATGACAGTACGACCAGCTGTCGAAAGCGCTCGCAGATAATTAATAGAAGATATAAAGCTTCAAATCTTTTTTGTGAAATTTAATATTGAAATACTGAAAATAAAGGAAAATTAGTTGCATCATTCAAAAAAAAATATGGAGTATATGAAATATTTACCTTTCAGTGCCTATGTCATTCACTATAGAAAAGCTGCTGAGATAAAGAAACATGTCGTGATGTATATCTTTCGAAAATGAAGTATGTAAAGATCAAATTAAAAGGTGTAGTTTATGAAATTACTATGGATCTTCATCAAATAACGGCCGAATCAATCATTAGAAAAAAAAAAACAAATTTATTTCTTTCTTATATTATGTAATTCCATTTCACTCTTTTTACGTTTTGAGTATCTTCAATACATAAAATAGACCTAAATAATATTTTTTCCGTGATATCTTATTTTTCATGTCACACAACGAATACTGCATCGAGGAAAATCCAGATTACTTCACTTCTGCGGCAAAGCAAGGATAAGCCAATGCATGCGATCTTCTGCAACAACATTGAAGACTTCAGCAGCCAGTATGGTGTCTTCGACACTTAAGTCTACCCCAGTTGCGTGATGGGTACAAAGGTTTCTGACACAAGGTGCAGGGCCTGCCGCAAGGTGCCTGATACCTTATTGCACTTAAAGTCAGCATGTCCAGCATATGGAGTTTCAGTCTATATCCATTAACATAACGCGGCCCTAAGAGTGCGTCATTACCACTTTTACGCTCCGGGAGATATTGAAGCCATTGTGGGAAAAGAGAAGTGCCGAATTTATTGGAACTTTTCGTTTACCATCCTCAGGCTCATACAAGCTTATATAAGCATGATGCAGTTCTTCTCGACCATCAAATTAAGGCTGCCCTTAAGGTGGGGTACTATCTCCCCTTCTGTGGTCGCTCCTGATGGATAGTCTGCTTGATGCCCTTGACAGGAGAAAAGTAGGTCTGCAAGCTTATGCAGATGATCTTGTCATCTTGGCAAGGTCCACGTCGGGAAGGGTAGCTTGTAATATCCTCCAAAGCACGATGGACGTTGTTCACAGTTGGTGCCTGAAGGTTCAGATGTATGTGAACCCCAGCACTTTCCCTCAATGGTGAGGTCATTCCATTAGGACCGGAGGTGAAATATCTTGGCATTGTCCTTGATAAAAAACTCACCTGGAACACTCGCTTGAAAAAAGTTTTACACAAAGCCAGCCTGTCCCTATGGACATGTCGCGGTATTTATGGTAAAACTTGGGTCTTAGGTCCCAATTAAATCCATTGGATTTATGTGATAATTGTCAAACCAATGATCACTTATGGTACAATTGCCTGGTGACCGAAGGCTTTACAGAAAACGGCCCAGGAGAAGCTCTCTGGCTTGCAGAGACAGGCTTGTTCGGCTAGATCTACCTCCTCTCCACATTTTTCTTAAGATAGAGGCTAGATGTATATAGACTTGTGCACATTGCCAATAGCACAAATCAATTTGATGCACAGCATTCTGGAAATAACCTCTGACTTTATGCCTCCAACTGTCAACTACGAACTGCCTTATAAAAGTACTGTTTCCGAGTAGAGAGGACTGGATCCTCCGGGAGAAGGAAATATTAAGAGCAGATAGTTATTGGTTTACAGTTGGATTAAAAACACCTTCCGGTTCCGGTGCAGGTGCTTTCAGTCGCAGACCCAGGACAGAGATATCAAACTGCCTAGGAACCTAACTGACTGTATTTCAAGCGGAAATTTACGCTATTGAATTGTGTGCGGAGAGATTGGAAGAATCCAATCTCATACACAAGTCAATAGAAATATTATCGGACAGTCAAGCGGCGTTGGAAGCTCTTCGCTCCTACCAAGCAACGACTAAATTGGTAGCAAATTGCCAAAAACGACTCTCCTCAATAAGAAGACTTAAAAAATGGTCTCTGGTCTGGATTCCTGGCCATACTGGCCTGGAAGGCAATGAGGCTGCTGACTCCCTTGCAAAGTCATGTGCGGTAATCAGCTTTATCGGACTAGAAGCTGGCATTGGCATCGCTTTAGGCTTTGCCAAACAAATATTGAACACATGGATGGCAAGAAGATTTATGGACTTCTGGCGGAATCTTTTCAGGATTGGCTCACTGCAAGGCGTTTATTCACTCTTCGAAGCTTGATACCAAACAGTCGTTGGACTACAGTAGGGATGAACTACGATGTTTAACAGGCCTTCACTCATTTGAACCATCATACACAGAGACTCGGGCTGTCAGAAGACAGTGTGTCGCCTCTGATTGGAAAATGATGAAACAGCAGAGCACATACTTTGTGCCTGTCCCGCTAGGGAGAAAGTAAGACGAAGATAGAATTAAAGGAATAGACAAGGTACTCCCTTGGACGCAAGGGATGTTACTAGAGGAGGAGCAGGACGAGGGAATGACTGAAATATACGTGGACGCAGGAGCGAGAATGGAGGACGCGCGAATGGGCATAGGCTGAGCGTATGAAAGGAGCAAGAGCGAGTGGGTTCTAGGGAACGAAAGGATCCCGGAACAAAACAGTGTGAATGAAGCTGAACTGATCGTGATAGAGTGGTCAGCACGTGGAGGATAAATGAAAAAGTGAGAATCGTCAGTGATTCCGCCTTAGCGGTGGAAAGAATGAAAGCAGTATGAGTGAGGAATAAAAGAGTAGCGACAATCCAGAGAATGATTGAAGAGAGGAATGACTGAAATAGTATGGCGTAAAGGACATCGAAACAATAACATTGGTAATGAAAAAGCGCATGAAGAGGCCACTAAAGGTACTAATAAGGATCGTGTTACCTGGGAAGTAAACAAGAATGAATGATAAGAATGAAGACAGAAAAAGGATGAAAAATCGAATCAAGGAAGAATGGCAGCAAGAATGGGACAACAGTATGACAGGGCGACTGCTATACAGGTTCTGTAGAGCAGTCGGGCATAAAGCACTGAATCTGTCGAGAAAGGCCGTCCAGCTGTTTACAGGGCATGGCAACTTCCCGGGTTACCTGGCTAGATTCAACCTGGGACCGGAAGTGCCTTGCCCATGTGAGTGGGGCCTGAGACGGCAGATCACGTGCTTGAGAGATGTACGCATGGAGACAAGGTTGGGTGGAGAGAATGGAAAGAAAGACTGGAACAGGAAAGGGGTGGAACACAACTGAGAGATAGAAACGGGAGAAATAGTGGATGGGTACGCATTGCGAACAATTGGGCAGAGAGCGTGGTACGAGATGAATGGGATAGATGAATTACAGGCTGCAAGCTTACTGTTACGGCTAGCTTATGGATACAATGGAGAGGCGACGATCTTCCCAAACCGAGCTGAACGGCATAAAAGAAAGCAAATGACTTGTGGACCTACATTATCTGTCTTTTCTGGTGATATTATATATTAATGTACATAATTATTAGAATGAAAATTTTGAGTTTATTGTAAGCGTTTGTATTAACTTTATTGTAATTGTAAAGCAATGTAAATGTATTATTTTTGGTTTAATAAAGTTGAGTCTTCTTCCCTGTTAATCTGAAGAGGTGGTTTCCATGGAAGCGGTGGAGCTGGATAGAGGGAAGATGCCTAGTTGTAAGGCTTTCGAGCCAGGCCACCGGAAGGCAATGTCATTATTCATACCCCGCTGAGGACCGAATCAGATTTTTAGAGTTGGGCAGAGCCGTACTCTTACCATCTGACCTGAAAGACTACTCACCATACAAACTAATCGGCTTCGTTAAGAAGCTGGGTTCATTTGGTCGAGTGTGAATAGGTGAGCCACAATAAACTCTTGCGGGTTGCGGTGGAGGGTCGAATAGACCAACTCATTTTGGACCTAACCTAACCCTAACCTTGATGGAATGATTCCCTCTCTATCATCAAATATCAAGATAATGCCGGCTTACCATACTGAGGCAGAAATCTTAGCCGTACAGATGCAAAAGGCTGTCATTCTTGACTGATTGCATCTCCTTAGAGCACCCAATGATCACTCACCCCACGGTGTGGCGACTGTGCCGGAGCTTAAGGGTCCGATCAGCTTACCCTTCGGTAAAAAAATGATAACAATTATATTATGATAATATTCATTATATTATCATTATTATCAATATTTTCATCATTATTTTTTTCATTATCAATACTGAAAAAGTCTATTTTTTTTCCAGGTGGACTCGCTCTGTTTTTCGTACCTATCGGATTCTTGGTGTTTGTCAGTTTAGGCTGTTTGGCTTATTTCTTCTACCTCAGAAGACAGAATGAAAAATATTCACCCAACGACCTCGATTGGGTATCACATAAACATAAATTCAATTACATGTAAGTATTTTGCAATTCTTATGGCAACATTTTAAAATAAACATAGTAAACTGTGTATTGCCAAATTCAAAGTAGCATATCATTAATTACGTATGAAAACATGAAGTTCGATTGGGATTGCAACCAGAATATCTATCTTTATGTTTTGTAATAGACTATTTGATCTGCTATACAATTGTTTTTATCTTTCCATATAGATATTCAATTAACAAAGATTTTGCCTGTTGAAGACACGGCAGACAGTATTTGGAATATGAATCTGTTTGGAAATCAATCTTTTTCCAATTATCGCCTTATTGAAATCTCCCTCTGAATCAGCCATGAAATATTTTGTTAACTAAAGACTAGTCCCCGCGGTATTTTTAATTCCAATTTCGCTTTTAAACAATTCGAATGAGTTTATTCCCCGAAATTCTAATTTTTTTCGTAAATTCAATAGTTGATCCAGTCTTACTATTGACATTCCACTCACTCATGATTTTCTGAAGTAACTGAAGGTTTGAATTGAAATATAGTAGCAGGGGAGCCCACGATGCAAAATGGGGATTTACTCGAGTATTATTATTAGGTTGCAAAGCTTAGATGATAAAAAGAAAAAAATGTTATATAATATATACCTTTTCATCGGTGGGGGAAGCGGCTATAGAGTTTTGAATATGTAAAAAAATACTGTTGCATGGACATACTCGAGCGCGTCAGATATTGATAGCATCAATATCATACGTATTTTTAATAATGTTGGTATGTTAATCTGATCGTTTGCATGATGTGGTTGGTTGTACGAAAGGGTTAAAAATGATAAGAAAAAAAATTATCGAGCGCATCAGATTTTCTAAGGGGGTGTTAAGTGCAACAAAAAAAAGCTCTCATTCAATAATCTGACGCAAACTCCCGGCTATTATTATAATGTGCAAAAAAAATTCGCCATTTTAAATACTCAAGCGCGTCAGATTAAGATATATATGGTTCATCTTTATGTTTTAAACGTGCTGTCTTATAATCTGACGATCATCTAGAGGGATTCGCTAATTCTGACAAAAACAATATTTTTTTATAATCAATTGAATAAATAATTAATAAAGAAAAAAGAAATGAAACTTTCTATGTTTTTACCGCTTCTTTTTGTTACTAACATTACTGCAGTTTCATCTTATAAGAACATTTTCAAACTTATATATTGTCCTTATAGGACGAACCTGCAGTAACGTTAGTTACAAATAAAAGTGGTAAAAAACATAGAAAGTTTAATTTCTCTTTTCTTCATTATGATTTCCTACCACGTAGTAACGGCTAGATCCATCAATTAATTGATTAATTGATCATCATCTTCATCACGAACGAGTCTCTGTGATTATCTGTGATGGCGTCATAGCAACAGAATTCAGAGTGAGAGAGTAATAGATAGAGAAAAAGGAATAGAGAATAGAAGAATAGAAACTCGAAGAGGGAAACATAGGTATCACACAGCTGCGCGCATTAAACTTTATCGACGAATTTTTGTTATTTCGGCTTGCTGAAATCGTCAGATTATATATTTTTCGTTATCCTTGAATTATTTCCTTCAAAATAAAACAAAATTAGCTACGCTCGAGAATGTCGAAATGACGTTATTTTTTTACAACTTTGTTGCCCTCCTCCCCTTTCTTTACGTCACTCTCAAATTGTCAGATTACTGGAATATACACTTTTTAGCAGGTAATTAACTCACCCTTCCTTAATCTGACGCGCTCAAGAATTTCTGATGATATTTTTTTTTACTAATCTGACCCTTTATCCCTCATAGGCGGCCTTATATATGGGGTTCATATTTGGTGGAGGTACTTGACCGGGTACAAGGTATCCCCCTGTATATTTATCTGCCGCTCTTTAGTAAATCCCGAAATCCCCGCTTGGGCTCCCCTATTATAGCGTTAATTTCATTGACATGGAAAAAATTAAAATCAGGCCCTATTATTATTCCAATTCTTCTTCCTCAAGCGGACTTCGAAATTTCGGAATAAGACATTTGTTTCCACTTAATACATACTTTGTTATTAAGGAACATACTACAAATTTATGTATCTTTTATCTCTCTATCGACATGTATAAAGGTGTGTAAGTCCATATATGAGCCCAGTGTATTCTTTTTCATGACTTGGCTTGGTACAAGTTTCAATTTTCAAGGCTTCGATGTTCATTTAATTCAGAGGTTTGTTCATTATATTATTGAATGTCACAAACGAACTCATCTCATCGTATCTTATTCATTGTGATTCCAATAAAAATATTAAATATTTTTCAGGTTCTCCCAGTGTTGCACTCTATTCCTCATAAGATTGATATTTTTCATCGTAGAACTAATACAGACATTCTTGGATACTTCATTTGTCGAAATATCTCCAGTGATAGTTTTGAAAATAATCTCTTCCCTAGAAGGCTTCTTCATTTTGTTAGTATTCATTGTACATTGTATCAAGAAAAAACAGTGGCAGAGGAAAGTTAGAAAACAAGTGGACAATCCTAATGACCTAAGGCTGATGAGGGATTTTCTGGCATATTGAAGTGAAAAGGGTAAGACAAAATAATACAAGAAAAACATGACAATATATTGAAACATCATAATTTCTCTTTATATTGAGTTGTTTCAATAGTTTTGTCTGTCTCTAAACTGTAATATCTCAGTGATTACTTATAATTCAATCGAAATAAGACAGACCCACTTGAATCAGTGGCTGCACTTTTGCCAACATAACAGAAGTCGAACTTGTGACGAACAGTTTGAAACCTTTGGTACAGTAATATTACTGGGGTTTTATCCCAACACCAAACCGTTATTTTCAACACCTCGACTCGTGTTTCGATCACCAAGTGATCATCTTCAAGATGAAGATCAAACTTAACACTACCATTGCCAAATGCCTGTTTAATTTTTGGGGCTGTTTCAGCAGCTTTTGGTTCAATATGAATTCGTAGAGTAAAATCGCCTAACACCATATAGCAAATAGTAAAATAAAAAGAGACAATGCTATTCGAACCTCACTAATATAGGTTATTGTGATTTTCAGTATAATAATTTTTCGATTCCTAGAAGCCTCATCAATTTTCAACATTTCCAACGTTTTTTCATTCAAATGTTGAGTAAAACCAGTATCACGTTTGAGACAAAAATAATAATCATCTTTCTGAAAGATTGAGACAGTCTGTCTGGTTACATTCTATAAATATCAATGTTAATAATAGAATTTATTTTACACGTTCAGAAACTTGTTTTTTTGTCTGCTATAATATATGCTGGAAAGATCCAAGACATACAATATTGTCATAAATCCTTGGACCTATACTATTTTTGATANTTTCTCCCTTCATTTGAAAGATTCCCACATTTTTTTGTATAAAGATGGAGATATTTTCAACACAAGCGTCAGAAATGAGTCTGAGACTTATACCGTATTCTCTCATGAACTGAGTTATAAAATATGTACGTCAACAAGATATCATCATTATTCGATGCGGTAAATGTTGAAAACTAATTCTTGAAGAAACTGATTACCCCATTATTGGATGAGGAGTATGTTGGCCTTGGTTTAATATGTTTTGGCCACGATGTCTCAGATTTTCAGAATCCCTTTGCTAAGGTCTTGAAGTAACTTTTGAGTCTATATTCTAATTTTCCATAAGCTTTACCAACAATTTCTAATCTACAGCTTTGCAAATCTAGCTGTCCCTCTGAAATGCGCGAACAGTAAAGAGAGATGGTAACTGTTCACTACCAACTTTTATTTAGACATATAATCGTGGAAAGAATTTTGGCTCAGATAAATTCTGCAAGTGTTGTCATCTACACATATACCAGTACGGAACGGGAACTAATATTATTCCTTTTGTGCAGGTGAAAAGTAATTTAAATATGATGAGTGATAAATAATTGCAAATAATAGAAACTGTTGTAAATCATGCCCTAAAGAAAATAACACCGGCCGCCACTGGTAACCATAAACCAATTGTGACCTAGCTAATAGTGCGCGAATGTACGATGTTCGCTGCCACTCTGGATGTAGCGAGAATAATGCTACCGACTACGATGGAATTCCGACGAATTTTCTACCGCATTCGATTACGCCACAAGCATATCGACACAGTCAAGTGGAAGTTACAGTGCGGTATCTAGTAAAGCGATAGACATTTGAATAATAATTGAAGTTTTAGTTGAAGTGTTTGTTGTATTCCAAGTGAAATGAAGTCAAGTTGGATTATTGTTCATGTAGTAGTCATGTAGTTTAGTCAATTATTGGTCAACCCACGGGAAAAACGTAATAATACGTACATTCCCATTTGAGATGTATGAATAAAATGAAAATGGATCAATTTACAAGAGATAATTGATAGATAATTGAATGCATAGTCACTAGAAATGATTATGGAACGTAGTAGGTAGATAATCTACAATATTGATAATAACATACCAGTATTTTTACTCAGAAAATATTTAATTTTTTCTCAGAAAATATTTTGATTTATTCATCAGTGTCTATTTTGTCCCCTTCAAAGTAGTCCCACTCAAATATAATACACTATTATCAGCGTTTTTTTTCAATTCTCGAAGCATTTCTAATAGGCAATTTTTGATATGTCCTTAAGCTCGCTCAGCGATTCAGTTTGTATCTCTATCGTCGCATAACGCCGTCCTTCCATGGTTCTCTTCAATCTTGGAAACAGGATAATATCGCAGGCAACCAAATCTGGTAATTACGGTGGCTGAGGCATGACTACGGTGTTGTTTTTGTCAAAAAAATTACGAGCTAGCGATGACGAGTGAGCAGGTGCATTATCGTGATGCAAAAGCTATGAATTGTTTTTCCACAATACCGGACATTTTCTTCGTATTGCTTTGCAAGCGGCGCATAACAAGATAATACTTCTTATTGACCATACGACCATGTGGCAAGAACTCCTGATACACTAAGCCATGGTAATCTAAGAGAACAGTGAGTAGAACACTAACATTTGATTGAACTTGACGTGCATTTTTTGGTCTTGGTTCTCCTGGGCTTTTCCATTGTGACGATTGGACTTTGGATTCAGTGTCCTAACCATATATCCATGTTTCGTCACCAGTTATGACCATTTTAAGTAAATCTGTGATGCCGTTGACATCATTCTACAATTTTCTGAGCGATGCTTATGCGACGGCTTTTTTAGTCAAAATTCAGCAATTTTGGAACGAACTTCGGTACCACACGCTTCATGTCCAAAATTTCAAAAACGATTGTATGGCGTGAGTCAACCGAAATGCCAATATACTAGGCAACTTTTCTAATGATGATCCAACGATTTTCCGTAACAATTTTTTGCACTTTCGTAACATTTTCATCGGTTTTTGATGTGCTGGGGCTTTCAGGGCGAGAGTCATCATTCACATCTTCTCATCCTTCTGTGAAAAGGTTCTACCACTTGTAAATATTTTTTCTGACTCAGAGTACAATCACCATATGCCACTGTCAACATTTCGAATGTTTTTGAGCACTTAATTCCATTATCAATACAAAATTTGATTCAAATCCTTTGATCCATTTTTTCGATAGCAGAAAATCGCCGAACACGCAAATCATTCTCACTTTTTTGCCTTTCACCAACAAATTAAAAATGCTGAACAGCTGAAATTGTGAAAATATGTTCTAGGCGAGTGTATCAACATAAAAAAAATCGCTAATCGAATGTACGTAGGCTGCGAAATTTCAACATTCACATCATTTTTTGAATAGCCCACGTATACATATACAGTGTGTCTCACTTCTCATGGAAACACCCCCGTATCTTCCGTAATATTCGAGGTAGAACAATGAAACTCTCTGAACTGATGGAAATGCTCAAAATGCACCTACCACCTGAATGGGGTTGTCCGCCACTCGCGATGGAACACCCAATTTTTACAGTAAAACATATTAGGGGGCAAAATAGGCGCAAAATTCCTTCAGATTCGTGATCAGGACTACCAACTTACTACGATTACACTTTTTTCCTGAAAAAATTTCAGTCCTGAAAAATCCGAATTTGTCTCACTTCTTATGGAAACACCCCCGTATCTTCCGTAATATTCGAGGTG